ATTTGGTGCTGGTTGACAGCCAGCTAAACATGAGCTAGCAGTGTGCCCAGGTAGCCACTGGTATCCTGGCTTGTATCAAAAATAGTGTGGCCAGCAGGACCAGGGAAGTGATTGTCCCTCTGTACTCATCATTGGTGAGGTCACACCTTGAATCCTGTGCTCAGTTTTGGGACTCTCACTTCAAGCCAGACATCTAGGTGCTGGAGCATGTCCAGAGAAAAGCAATGGAGCTGGTGAAGGGTCTAGTGAGAAAGCCATATGAGAAGTTGGAGGGAGCTGGGGTTGTTTAACCTGGAGAGAAGGAGAAATTACTGCTTTCTACAACTACCTGATAAGAGGTTGTAGCAAGGTGGAGGTTGAGGTCTTCTCCCAGGCAGCTAGTGACAGGACAAGAGGACATAGCCTCAAGCTGTGCCAGGGGAGGTTCAGGTTAGACACCAGGAAGAATTTCTTCATAGAAAGGGTTGTCAAGCATTGGAATGGCCTGTCCAGGGAGATGGTGGAGTCGCCATCCCTGGAGGTCTTGTTCAAGAAATGACTGGATGTGGCACTTAGTGCCATGGCCTAGTTGATGAAAAGGAGATTGGTCAAAGGTTAGACCTTGGAGGTCTTTTCCAGCCTAAAGGATTCTGTGATTTATACCTCAAAATAACGAGTGGCTGCTGACGATATATAGTGCCTGAGGTATTTTGTTTCCCTGGTAGCTCCTGTAACCCAGTGTGAAAGGTCTCACCAGACTGGCAGTCACTTGACCCTGGCTAAAGTCTGTCTTGTACGAGCAGACAAATGTTTTGCTGCCAGTTCACACAGGTGGATATTCTCAAAGACACAGAAGATTTAGGTGCTCATCTGCCTTTAACTTGCAGAGATTTAATATAATGTAATAAAAATCATTATGGGAGCAATGGTTGTCTGTGACTGGTCTCCAAATGTGAGGTATTCATAGACACCCAAATTTCCAAGCCTGCTACAGTCCAGATGCACAAAAGCATCATGCTAAAAAAAAAAAAACCTGACAAAAAATAAGTGTTGTGCACCAAAACCTTGTGAAGTGGCTGGGGAAGCTGACAGTAGTGGGCCAGTAAGCATTGTGCCCAGTGCTCTGCAAGGTCGATTTCTTCCTCATTACCAATGCCTCTTACTCTTGCTGCTTGACAGTCTGCTAGCCAGAAGCACCAAGATAATAAACAAAGATCTCTTGTAAAGGGTTTTGTGACACTTGAAGACGTCTCAATTAGGCATTTGAGTTTCTTTTACTAAAACACTTATTTGTCAGTTAAATGCCAGCTATGCACTCCCAGGCAGTTTGGTTTTGGCAGGAGGAGTCTTTTTAGGAATGTATCAATTAATTCAGGATTTTCTTCTCTTGAGCAAAGTAACAACCTGGCATAGGCTGGGCTTTGGATTCTGCTCCCATCCATGAAGGATATCTGCAGACCTTTACAGCTCAGAATCCCTGGGTATGGGAACAGTCTTAGCACGTCTGTTCTGGGGCAGCATTTGTTGTGGGGTTACTGGGCATTTTGCTAGAGTCTGCCAGTTTGCATGTTGTGAAGACTCTGGACATCTAAAAAAGATACTAACAAACCTATTCCTTCTGTTTTATTGCAGGCCTTCATGTGAGCTCTCCAACAGAATCAACAAGCGGTACAGACCCTTTTTTCCTTACCTACTTACTGTACTCTGTGCTTGTGAACCATGTGCTTTTGTAAAGCTTGTTTTAAGATAAGTTTCTTAATGCATTAACATTTTCACACAAGCAATTTTAAGCCAAAACTGTGGCAGTAATGAACAAATCACTTTGCTCAGCAGAGAGAATACTCATTCCTTAATTAATATCTGCTGGAGTAACCCTTCTGCAAGAGCAGAGAGAATACTCATTCCTTAATTACTATCTGCTAGAGTAACCCTTCTGCAACAAAAATCTTCAGTCTTCATATGTAGTGACTTGAAATTCCATGTATTTCATACCAAAAATACTTTCTGGCTTTAAAGAGGATAAAGGTTTATTTAGCATTGTTGTGTTTCATTGGCTGCAGCAATCTGGAGTCACTGTCAGGAATTAGAATAAGTTCCCCAGAGCAGTGGTGAAATCACCATCCTTGGAGGTGTCCAAGGCATCTGGATCTGGCGCTGGGTGATATGGTTAGGGGTTACAGTGGTAGTGCTGGTGGATGGTTGGAGTGGAGGATCTTAAAGGTCCCTTCTAACCTTGATGATTCTATGATTTTTGAGGATTATCTTAACAAGTAGGAGCAATAGAAGAATTTGCTCTACATGCACTGATGAAAAAGGCTGCTGTGGGTGGGAGACAGGCAGTCAGAGGAAAGGAAATTTCCAGGAACAAGGAGGTTTTAGGGGAAGAATGAACCTGAACATAGTACAGAGAATCAGAAGAGTGATGTTCAACTTATAGCACTGAGTAATTTTGCAGTGATTTCAGCTGAATACCATGTTGGACTAGAAGATAATGAAAAGAAAACAGGGTGGGAGCACAAAAAAAAAATCAGGCCTGGCATACTGCATGATGCAATGGGAAGCTGATAGAAATAGAGTGTTTACCAAGGAGCTTGTTCTTGTCAGTGGCTCTTGTTCCTTGTCCTGCGGTTAGAAACAGCAGGCCCCAGAGTATCCCAAGTTTCCTGTGCTAATGAACCTAACCTGTATTGTCCTATTTTCCTTTCTCTGGGCTTATCAGGAAACAATCTCTTCTGTACTGGTCCCTGCAATTCTTGTCACTGCTGTCAGCAAAATCTTGTCCCTTCTGTTACCATGATGGTTGTATTTCTGCAATTAATTGTTATTCTGGTCCCAGATCATCCATACCTGGGAAATACCTTCCAGATTCAGAGAAAGTAGACAGGATGAGCTGGCTTGTGAGAAACTTTAATGAAAGAAGTGGAGAAATGAGCTAAATGTTTTAGATCCTTAATCTATTTTATTAACTAGTGTTTCTTTTTAGCTATCATACTTCTTATTGATGGTAACAAGTAATTAAAATGCTAACCTATGGATTTTTCTTTCCTGCATTACTCACATCTTGGCCAATTAAGAGATAGCCAAGAAAATAACCAGAGGATTTCAATTCTCAGTTTTTCTCCTGAGGAGATGCACAAATCTCCTGCACAAATACAGGGATATGCATTCGTGCTTTTCAGTATAATTTGTGTCTGTTGACATTTTCAGTCAGTATCCAGGGAAACTCATTGCTGTGATAATTGCCTGCTTGCCCTGTATATCATGTAGTATACCAGATAAGGTACCAAAAAGAGCAGTAGTATTTCCTTGGGAAATCTAAAACAATCACATGGAATTAAGAATTCATAGGAATTATTTTAGTCACCTGATAATGGCTCACGGTTTCCATCCTTACATTATCACCCCTCAGCAGACAGGCACCACAGGAGAAAGAACTTCTGCTTTAAAGAAACGGTGATTTTTCAGAGATAAGGGTATTGGACAATGATTGATTCCTACATTATAGCATCAGAATGTCTCAGCTGCAGCTGTATTGTTTAGGCACCCCACAGCACTTAGTAAGTGATCATTTTTCCCTAGATTTCTGTTTCTGGCCAGAAAAATGAAGGGGATGGAGCAGAGGGGAAAAGAAAAACACCCACCAAAATGGTTTCTTAATAGTGGACCTAAGTTTAAAATCAGTGCAGCAAGGAAGAAGGAGCCCTACATGGCTGGGACAAACAAACTTTGTTACTGTCATTCTGCAGATTAGAGTGGCAAGTACTGCCTGTACAAAAGCTTTGGAAAAAAATAGGGACATGCCTTTCAGAGACTTATGAGAACAAAATTGCATTCTAGACCACAAAGTGGCTGTGGGAATTTGGTTTTAATGACTCAATTTCATATCTTCCACCCAACAATTTGAGCACTCTTCTGTTCTTTGGAAGAGGAACCATGCATGATTACAGGTGCAGATTATGAATAGGTACCCAAGCAATGGAGCAGAACTTTGGTGGCTGCTACCACGTTCTTGCTACTTATACACAGAGCTATAATCTCTACAAGGACCCCTTCTTAAGAGACCACCTTCCCCAGATGCCTCTGTTTGAGAGCCATTTCTGGTATATAGACGGGCAATGGAAACGCTCGACCTTGCATTACATTTGTGCAGCTGGTCAACTTCTTCAGCGGCTGTAAGCACAACATCTACTCAGCCTCCATCCAATATGGAATTACAATCCTGTGTGCTATATAATGCAACTTGGGGAAACACCAATGTTTGAGTTTTGTATTTTCTCTCTGGAATTTCAGTGATTGATTTTCATAGACTGCTTGCCACAAGGTAATAAATATTTTGGGCTGTCGATACCTGGATCAAATTCAGATTAGTACCTGAAGATAGAAATGCATTGGTTTAAACCCAGCCCTGAAAATGCCCCAGCGACTCACAATTTAAACCCAGCCCTGAAAATGCCCCAGAGGCTCACAGCAGTCATTGCTCTCTCCAAATTTGGCAGAGAGAGCATGCACATGCCTCTATAACAACTCTCAAGAAACTTGCTATCTACTAATATTGCACCTCTTTGGACTTTTTCATCTAATATTAGCACTTTTATTTTTTTCTTATTTTTTTTTTTTTACTTCGCAGTGAAATATTTTGGTCTTTCTTCTTTTGGAGACAGGTCTAATTTTCACTCTCTTTCTCATGTATTTACTTGTCAAGAATACTCTTGTAATGTTGAACAGTACCATAACTTCCTAAAAGTGAAAAAAGTTATAGTTCATAACCTGTAAGTGGACAAGCAGATGATCCTACGAAAAACTGCACCCATGCAAAGCGTGTGTTTCTTCTAGGCCATATTAGATAAACCTTTTCACCCCTCTTGCCAAGTTAATCCAAGTACGATTTAGAAGAACTATAGATGTGAAGCACCAAGTGCCTCCAGAACTAGGGACACAAAAGCTGTTTGGGGAGGGGAGTTGTTGGGGGACTTCTGCTATTACGTGTTTACTGAAAGGCAATATTTCTTTTGCACATCTAGCTTTTGGCAGACCTGGAAGCAGTTCTGGAGACAAGAAAGAGCCAGAGAGTGATATCCACTATTCTAGTGAGTGTTCCTACTTTATCAGTTTTGCTTTCGATGAGTGATTGGAGTAGCAGACAAATGAAACTGGCAGTTTTATTTCTAGCCTTACCATACATAGACCCTATTAAAAAACAAATTTAACTGCCTGTTATAAAACTCCTCTCAAATTGAAGCTGAGCTTAACAAGTTGACTCTGCTCTCACTGTAGAGCAGCACAATTATTCCCAAGGACTGACTCAAAGTAGTAAGGCTGAAAAAAAAAGTGTGAACAGAGTCATCTCCTGTGAGAGAAGACACAAGGAAATATATGAAAAAGTTGTTCATATACATTTTGTACATATTATGTGAATATATTTTTATGAATGTGTTATCTGAATACACTGTTGATATTGTCACGGGAGAGAAGGTCTAAGAGGCAGTCTTCTGCAAACTAAGTACTAGATATTTGCACAATGCATGTTATTTAATCTTTTATTTTAATTTCATGCCTCTCTGGGGCAAAAGTGTTGCCCCAGAGTCTGGGGATTTCCTATCCAGAGTACTGGCTTAGTAAAATATGCTCGACATTTTTCACCGTAAACTTGTCTCTGTGCTCTCCCACTAGTTCCATAGATGCACATACACATCTATATGAATATTAACTTTTGATTGCATCGAGAGCCATCGACGATGCTATTTCTAAGTATCAGGCAACATGATGTCTGATGCTGTGGAAGGCTACACAGGCTGAGGCCAGCAGGCAGGAGAGCACCTGCTAAATTTGAATGTGGCCGATCGCTGCCAGAGAAAAAGATAAGGGGGGAGAAGCTGGGCTTATGCTTCCTCAGGAAAGCTTCTCTTCATTACATAATTCTTTCTTTTTTGCTTCTTGGCTGGGAAACACCTGTCAGGAAATGGCAGATGGTGGGAAATAATAAAAGGAAAGAAATGTCCTCATTTTAAAAGGAGATCTTTCATTTGCTATCCCTGGTTGTAAGTGCTGTGGGGAATGTTACTGAATTATGTAACTCTTTGGTACCTTTCTGGGTGTACGATGTTGAAAGCAAAATAATCATTCAGTTGCTGAATTTCAGACAAGTCTTGTTTTCAAAAAAAAAAAAAGAGGAAAAAATAAGTTGCATGTATGAAAACTTTATTTTTGAAACACGACAGTCTCACAAAACCTTTGGGACTTGTCAAGACTGGGGTGAATCATGAATATTTTGGTCAAGATTATGGTGGTCCCAGTGGAGCAGGTGCTGAAACCTCACTCTCCTACTGAAAAAAATGGGTGCAACCAGTTCCCAGGGCAGTATGAGTATGTGGGAAGGAGCAAGGGAGGGAGAAGGAAGGTGCCTAAATCCTCCCTTCACAAAGCCTTGGGCCTGAGGCTCAGTTCTTGCAGAAAGAATAACAGGAGCAGAAGACTACTCCATTGCAGAGAAATAGATAATGTTTGGTAAAGTGGAGCTGGAGGTGTCTCTTGCCTTTCTGTATGCAAGTGCCTGTACACAGAGGCAATGCAAGCCAGAGGCAGCAGCCAAAATTATGTTCTCCTTCTTTTGTAGGCATTATCTTGCCAATTGTCATCACCTTGATAGTCATCACTCTCTCTGTCTTCTCACTGGTGGCTTTGTACAAAATGTGCCAGAAGAAAACTCCAGGTATTTGGTTTCCCTTCTCTGAGGGGGATGAAATCAATGCAGTTTTTATTATTAAAAGGTCTCTTTTACGTTACCTGAAGTATAGCTGTTATGGTAGTCTGATGGGAAAGCTTCTTGTATTTCAAAGTGTTTTGCCTAAAGTAGGAAAGTAACACTTCATTTTCAAAATCAGTAGGAAGAATAGACTGAGCAAAAATGTCTCTGATTTTTTGAGAATATATAATGCTTAAAGCTTTTTGTTCATGCCTTTGCAGCTCCAAAGAGCTAACAAACACTTCTGCTAACACAATCAGTCAACCAGGTAGAAATAGACAATGAAAACTAAGTTTGAAGATATTGTTCAACAAAATCACTATATTTATTTTTATCTTTCTTCCTGATACAGGCAAAAAAAAAAAAAACCTAGTGTTTTCTTTTGGGATATACCTGATATATACATACACATACACATTATGCATGAGTAAAATTTTCCAGTTACAGTATAATGTACGTGGGAACAAAATCTCTGAGCAAGCAGCATTTTCAGAAACAGTCATTTTGGCAGAGCAGCTAAATTCAGTATCTGTTTCACTGCTGTCCATTAAATACTTGAGATAACAGGGTATAGCTTCATCAAATTCCATTTGCCAAATGTTTCAGAGTTGCCTGAACGAGACACAGGCAAGTGTAATTCTTCATTAAGTGCAAACCCAGATCTGAATCCAGACTTTGGTTTTTCTGTCCCCGTCAGCTGGCATGAGTTAGGAGACCTGTGCAGAGCTTGAACTGTGAAATCACCAGGCCTTGAAAATGTAAAATCACAACAGGGTGTTGAAGCTGTAAACCAAGGCAGTGTGTCACAACCAATTTAGCCAATTATATGGAAAAACAGACCCAGACAAACAGAGCAAGGTGTGATCCTTGCCTAGGAAATTACTGAATATTCAGAGTGGAGATAAAGATAAGAAATGAAGAGTATTTCCTCACCAGCCTCCCCTATCCACAAATGCCATCAGGCACTGTACTAGCAAATTCACGTGGAAGATAGAGTAGATATCTGTGGTGCTTCCTGTAGGACGTGCCCAGACCTATCCAGTGTGATTCCCCCGTGGATGGAAAGCCCTGTGCTTAGTGCCATAGGGCTAGAGTTGGTTCCATGTCTCCAGTGTAACCTCCTGGCCACATCCATCGGCCCACACTTGCACATAAGCATAAAATACATTTACTATATGATTCATTTTGGGGAGAAACCTGTTCCTTATGGATGGGGGTGCCAGGCTCTGTTCTCAGATGTCATGCCAGGTTAAACACCCCAGAGCATACAGCCTGACAGCTTGTTCCCTCACTCCCCTCACCCTGTATCTTTTAGCTCTCTTGTTATGTACTCAAGAACCGTTGCATACTCACCTCCTCTGTGCCAGCTACCCAGGGACTTGGGAGCTGCAGGAAAAAACATGCTTCTGTTGTGCTCTTGGGCAAGCCACATCTCATTCTTCCTGGTTTCCTAAAGCATCAGTTCGAACAATATCAGTTCACTTTCATAGATGATTTAGAGAAATAGCAATTACCATTCAAGCTGGTTAATTGTATTAATGTACTTAATGCAAAAATTACAACTAAGCCTTCTGCCAGCTAGTGCAATATCTATGTCTAAATGTTTATTTAAGAGTGTTCCAGAAGTCAAAATGATATTAACTTTGTTTCTTCTTCCAGAGAGACAAGAGAATGGCACTGAACAGTAGGTTGAACCTTTTTCATTGCTTTGAGATCTATCATGGGGCACTTGTAAATGCAGCAGATTCTACATAGGATTTTCTTTGATCTTTCTCTGTTCAAACATAATAAGCAGTTATCACCCCAAAGAGAAATATACTGTTGGAAATGCTGTGCTTGCAATTATTGTACACCTATATGCATGAGAAGCAGCAGTTCCAGCACGTGAAATGTGATGACTCTCAGATGTTTTGCAGGGGATCCTTTTGAAATGGATAAACGGCTTATGCTGGAGTCAGGACTCACTGACCCAGTCTTTTTTGTCTTGTTTTCCAATTTTTGTCCCATTGATTCCACCCCCATCCTTTCCCATCCCCCTTTCTTTGTTTGTGTTTCCTCTCTTTTTAGTGTTTTATCTCTTTTTAATATTTTCTTTGCAATTCAACATGGCTAAAAGACTTGTATTGACAGGGGAAAAAAAAAAGATGACTCCCTCTTTTCCCCCAGATGTAGTTCTCCTGCAAAGCATTAGATTAAACCTGGAGTCATGAAACTTGATTTATTACATATTTTAAGAGAAAGGTATTTTCAGAGATGTTGATATATGATGTTTTCCATCACCAAGTCCTGCACATGAGTCCACGCAAAGCCCATTTCAAGCCTACTAGTGTAGACTGGCACAGGTTCTGCCTCCTCTGGATCATAATCTAAGAGGGTTTTTTGGCTGACCAATATGCATAGTGACTGTTTGCTTAAATATTTTCTGACTTCAACAGGGCCCAGTCAGATAAGGAAGGAGTCAAACTTCTTTCTGTGAAAACAACTTCTTCTGAGACTGGTGAGTGTTTCCTCTGTATGTATGTCTGTCTGTCTCCCTCTCTGAGCTCAAAGAAGAGTAGTTTTGGAGATGTCATTTCCAATAATAAAACCATCTTCAGTTCCTGCCAGGTCAAAGTCACTGTAAACAATTCCTCTACAGTGCAAATCCCCAGGTTGGGATCCTGTAGAGCTCTGGTTCAGCTGCACTGTGTGTGCTGTTGGCATTTGGGAGTGAGGAGTATGACTGGTTTAGGAAAAATATATTTTTTTAATCATTGATTGTAAGTGATCTACAGCTAGGCATGGTTAGGAGTAATGATGATCATGGTATTTATCGGCTAGATCTGGCTGCACAAGGACATTTGAAGACTGGTAATATCCCAAAGACTTGGGAGGCAGTCCTGTATGTAAACGGAGCTCTGTTCAAGTTGGTATCAGCAGTGTTCAGTCAGCCCTGTACTATTCACACAGGAGAGTACTCCTACTCTCGTTCCTCTGTCCTGTGCTTCAGTTTCTTACAAAATATGTGGTAATAAATCCTAAAGGAATAGAGGTTATTGATAGCAGGCACAAAAGAAAGCAAAATTTCAGAGCAAAGAGATGGATGCAGTTACAGGTTCTGCAAGAAATGGAGTAGCACAAAATAAGACTGGCAAAACAAAATTCTGACTAATCTGATTCCCAGATACTCAACAAATAAATTAAAACAACCTCCCTAAACCTCTCATGGTAGAGCTAGTCATGGTGTAACTTCACACCTTCACCCAATGCTTCCTCAGCCACGTAGGTCCCACCTCATCTGCAGAAGTCTCTCCAGAAAGACAGTCTCTTATTTTCTGGTTTTTAGGTCTAAAGCCCTTTTTTGTTTTAAAGGTTTTTGGCCATCTGTTGCTCCTACTCATATTTAAGAGGTTGCCCAATAGATGCTCTCTCCTTTTGTTCGAATTGTTGGGAAGTTCTCTGAACTTGATCTGACCTATCCTCTACTTGCTGGAGAGGCACAGTTTGGACTCTACAGCCTTTTCTGCAGCTCTCAGAGGCTTTCGTGCAATCCAAAAGATCCACAGGGCATCTCTGGCAGCCCTTGAAACAAATCAAAGTTGTACAAGGTCCTTACAGCTTCATCAACACAGAGCGGCACGCTAGGGAGACTGAAGGGGAAGGAGAAGGGTCTGCTCCATCCCAGGATCTGTCATTCTGCCCCATTGCTGCTAAGCATGTGCAAACTACACTTTGACACTTACCCAACCGTGCTCTGGCACTTGAGCAACTGCACTTGAGAGCTTTGTGATTTGGGAATGTTCAGATTATTTGGAGTTTATTATATGTCTTTGGGAATGGACCTTTAGCTCTAGTTTGAGTATGGAGTTGTGTGCATATTTTCCTAAAACCATAATCTTTTTTTTTTTTTTGAAAGCTGAATGAAGTCAGAAACTAATTCACAGACATTTTTTGATTGATTCTGCCCTCGTACTGTTTCAGCAATAAAGTAACTTCATTGACAGCCACAGAATTGTTTGTGTTTTACAGCAGGGTAAACGAGAAAAGATGAAGGCTCACAGGTTGTCTGGGATTTTTTCACAAGACGAGGTCTGGTGCCTGCTAATCAGCTATTGGCTCACCAAGTATCTGAGTATCTTCCATCCAGAGGATGCTTGATATTCTTTTTTACTCAAGTGTGATATGTGCATGCTATAATTAGAAGGTATGAGTCATAATCACTTAGAAGACAAGATTCTTGCCCTCTTCTCATTAATACAATTCATATTTAAACTAGCTGCCATTTTCTCCTGAATTCTTACATCATTATGTGCTTCAAAATTAAACATGTTTTCGCAGAAATTGAAGTCCTGGTCTTGCCCAGGTTTTCAGAGTCACTTTACTTCTGAAATTAAAAGCAATCTGACAGAAGGGCCTGTTTCTTACAGGAATAGTTGTCACTCACACAGGTATTTTCAAATATGTTAGGATGTATGTCCATTTGAATCAGTTTTACTTGCTTCATTAAAAGCTGGGGCATAAAGGCAAGTGTTTCTTACGGTATAGATGGACATGTGAGAACTGTCTGACTTGTGGTCCTTCTTACAACTACTGACAACAGTTGCACTGTGTAAAACTTCTGTACATGTGTTCTTTTTCCTTCGTCCAGCTGTTCAGAAAGTGTGTGTTGTGGCCACCTCTGATTGTATATATCAACAAAACTACAAAAAGTTGTGACTTAAGGCTGCTCTTAAGAACTTTCTAGTTTAACTTTATAGGTAGATCTACATCATCCTCTCACTGTCAATAGGCTGCTCAGCTGCCTAAGGTCAAGCATATGTACAATGAAGTTCTGCTTTGACATGTATTCAAATTAAGCTTTATTAGAAGTATGCGTGATAATTTTTGATTTTTACTTCTTATTCCAAACAGAAGATTTTGGCTTATATAATTGTGTTTAAAATGTGTGAAAAAAACATAGCTACAGAACAAATAAGTATATGACCTGCTAACTGTTCGAGCAGGCAACCTAGAAAAACCCTGTGTCAGTGTTGTGCATGATATATCTTGAGCAAAGGTTATGGTGAGTTTAATCTTGCCTTATTTTATCCATCTAAAAACTGCCAGCTGCACAGAGTTGAAAGAGATGTGTGTGTCCAGAGGGCTGTTTATCCCATCGGGCTTGGACTTGTATCTTGAGCTGGAATGGGCTGACCTATGGTAGTCCATTGGCTACTGAAGCATGCTATTTTGACTTCTAAAATTAGGTTCTGAATATAGCAGGAAAGAAAAAGGAAAGGCTCCTTTTTCAGAAGCATAGCTGAATTAAATTCAATCAAGAATATTATTTCAAATACCTGCAGTTAATGTGAAAGAATACAGGAAAAGAATAGCTTTCAATTAAACCAGGAGTAAAGTAATGTTTTTTAATGGAGTAATATCATCAGGAACACTAGGTAAAACAGATATAATATTCTCATTTTTTAGAACTCTTCTTAGAAAGGTGGAGTTGCCAATGGCTTTGAGTTCTAAAGCACAACAGTTCTGAGAAGTGATGTAAAGTGAAAAAAAAAAACCCAGAGAAAATTAAACACCCTGAATTTTTCATGCACATTTGTCAGTGAATTACAACACCTGATGCAAGATAAGTGCCTGTACTTGCATCCTCTTTGAAAACTCAGCTTGGATAAAAATGCCCAGGATACTGAATCATCTAAAAAGTTTTACACTAATGTGCAAATGCAGGACTTATGGCAGCCATTTCATGCTGACTGTACAGGCAAATTTAGGGTGACTCTCCCTGGGGAGAATAAATAGTCTTCTACAATACAGAGTCCTAGAAAGTCTAGCTACAAAAATATTTATTATTTGAGATTGAACATAGCCCACAGAACTGCACATTTGGCTTCTCAGTGACAGATATTTCCTGAGAATATAAGATGAAGGACTTTAACTGATGACCAAAAGATCAGTACCATTGTCCATGAACTTAAAGTACTGCCTGCCATGAAAACAGAGCTAACTTTTTCTGTAAGGGTTCTTACGTATTACACTGAAAAACAGTGAAGGTATTGATCACCTTTTTGGACTCATGAAAAATGCTGAGGGATGGAAATTCTTCAGTTACAGACAGGTTGATGAATAGAAATTAGAGTAAGGCTACTCCATACAGATGAATGATGTGTGACAGAAATATTGATACCTGAGTAATGACCTGACAAGTTTCTTTTCTGGCACTTGCCTGGAGTACCCATTCTAGAGGAGGTAAAATGTACAAAAGCCCTTTATAGTAGCAGCACACTAGTTCAATATTCAACATAAAGTCTCACAGGAATATGCAGGTGACATAATATTTCAGAGCTGGTAGGTATAATCCTGGCACCTAAGCATTAGCTGATAGATTAGGGCATGATTTCAAACCAGAGTGAGCTCTTTAGAGATAATAGGGTAGGATATGACTTATTTGGCTTGTAGGGGTATTGCATGTTCTGCATTGAATTTGCTGAAAGAATATTAAATATGTCAAAGCTGATGCAGCTCAGACCTTGGTGAGGCACCAGGAATGAAAGGTGGCTGGAGAAGGGTCCGTGGTATATATCTGCATTAGGGTTTCCTAAGAAACCCACTGTGGACAAAAATGACAATTCAAGTGTTACTACTAAACAGAGCTGGGAAAATATACCAGACAAACATGGATATTTGAGGAGACACCTAACCTGTCACATGCAAAAGGCCTTAAACTTATTGTAATCACATTGGAGAAAGGGATCAGTTTATACCTAGAAGTGCTCTCAGATGGCAGTACAGTACAAAACAGCATGAACCAAGGATGCAGAAGAACTTGGATTCCCCATATGCTCCACATCTTTTCCAAAAGCTGCTGTTGTTCAACAGTAATAATGACCTTAGAGATGCTACCTGCTGCTTCAACTGGATATACCACCTGCCTGTAGATTTGTATAACATATCTCAGGTGCATCCCTTGCACAAGACGAGCTGCCTACCTTGATATGTGGGATTTCATGGCATAAATAGATCAGACCCTACCACTTCGGCTAATTCAAGGTGCCCATAATTTGTGCTTGTATCATTCCTCTGGACTTCCAGATTTTCCACAGTCTTCTCTGTAAAGGCTTTGAGGATTCCTAACCTTCCACATCAGAGGCTGGTGACTGTATTATACACGGTGACCAACCACCAAAATCATCCCAGAACAATGAAAAAACATCTTGTTCTCATTCAGCAAAAGCAACTTGCCTTGGTTACTGGAATACAAATGAGGCTCAGCATCCCTCAAGACAACCCACTGTGGTGCTAGGGTTAGGACATGGAAAATCCTGTGATTTTCTGAAACAATGTGGTTGAATGACAATATCTTCATCACTGCTTTCCGTGAACCTCCAAATGCTGAGGCTATTTAATTGTTCTGCCTAACACATCAAAACATCCAAATGGGGAGCTGGTGCAGACCTCCTTGGTTCCTGTTATGCTGAGTACATCTGAGCATGGGCCATGGCTTTTAAGGAGGTAAGAAATCTT